TGGTAAATTCTCAGACATGTTTCTTAGAATCAATGCAGATCTGAACACGTCCTCTAAACATGGAAAAAATAAAATTGAACAGATATAAAAATGCATTGCTGTACGTCACTGATCATCAATAAAATAAGATAGAGGGCTTGAACTGTTCTTTTTTTACATTTGATCTTTTTCAGCTTGTAATTCACATGAGAGAAGGTATAGGACAGAAGACTGCAGAAACTAGTGATGCGCGAATCATGAACGAATCGTTCAGTACTCGAGAATCACTTTACTGACTCATGAATCATGATGCACAAGCCCAACTGACTCATCCCTGTTGCTGTTAGCAAACTATTTCAATATTAGAAATATATCTAGCTTAAAATTAAAATTGTGGAGAAAAACACAACATCCAGTATCTTAACAGAAACATTTCTGCTCTGAACTGGAAGAAAAAAACCCTGAGTAGAAGCTCACATCAAGACAATAGCTCCTCGGTTCAAAGTAGCATTGCTCTGCTAACATGCTAACAGCACATTTGACCTACTCACCCCCTCATTTCCTGTGCTGAATCGTAGCGTAAGCGAATCACTCACGACTCACTAACCCCCTCCCTCCTGGTACACAGCTTCTTCTTCTTCTTGCTTGGCAACCAATGTTAAGGCGCATTACTGCCACCTGGCTCACAGCTCAGTGGACATTTAGATGAGAAAATATATATTTAACACATTTAAGGAAAATACTGTTACGGCCTCTGGCCTCGGGTGGCCCCACCTTCCTCTATGGAAATCAAAGTGTTCCAGGACTCACAGGTGATTGGCTGGCCAGGGACCTATGCCCGCCCAACTTCATGCAGATCAGAGTGTGCCAGTCCACACACACCACTGGCTGCTGCAGGAGCCTTGAACACGACGGACCAATGACACGCCTGCCTGCATTTACTGGGAAGTACAAAAGGCTGAGGAGTCTTCCTTCGTGGGGGACTTGTTGATTTGAATAGACTGTGCAGACTGTCCCTCCTTCCTCTGCCTCTGCACCTTTGTTTTTGAGTAGCTGCCTGTGAGATGTTTAGATTATTAGTGTTTTATTAGTGTTATTTGAATACATGAGTTATTTGTTGTGTTTGTTTCAATCACCCCCATTGTGAGTTGTTTCACTAATGGTGTTCAGTTGTGGTAATAAACCTTCTATTTTCTTTTTTTATCTAACCCTCCTGCCTCTGGACTCATTTATGTTACATCCCTTGTCGCCTAGCAGAGCCGGGTTATAACAATACTAATAAAATAAAAATAAACAAAATAGATATTCCCTTTAGAAAATGTTTGTTGTTTTCTTTTAGAATCACTCATCTTAGCAGTAGGATTTACATGAAAAGAGAAACAAATTAAGTTTGAGTGAAAATGTACATTTTTTGCACTCTCTGGTCAACTGACTCAGTGAATCAAATGACTCAAAATACCTGATTCACTTTGGTGAGTGACTCATTAAAACTCGATTCAGTAAAAAAAATCAAATTTACCATCACTAACAGAAACAAATGTATTGTTGCACTTTGACATGGCTCTGGAGAGTTAGCACAGCAATCCCTACAACCATCATTACAACCATCTTACTCACAGACTGACACATTAAAGCTGTCCCCATTTCAAATTGCTGACTTTGAGGAATAGGATCTCTGGATGTCTCTGGACAGCTAACAAGAGCAGGCTAAACAACAACACCTGGTTTAAAGTTAACATTATCCCAGCTTAACACTCTCCCTTTGACACTTTGTCAATGAACTCACATACTGTTAGAAAGTAATGAAACTGTTTGTCAGAGTCCAGCACCGTTACATCCACTTCAAAGAGAGTTGAAAAAATATGAGCCTTCATCAGATTAGAAAAACTCCGGTGTGGATCCAGATCTGGTCCCCACAGTAGTAGAAAAACACCAGTGGGCTGGATATCTATTCTAGGACTGTGCAGTCGAATTGGGGTAAGAATATAGATCCCACATGACTGTAGTCTACTCACACCTAGTGGTGAAACATTTCACATCCTGTCAGTTTTTTGTTGTTTTTTGACTGTTGGCTATTTTCCAGCCAGAAGACATTCGTATCAGACTCTCCCTTAAATAGTTTGGAGAGAAAAGAAAAAGCAGAAAAGAAAAAATACAAATCTGCAATGAGAAATAATTTTTTTGGTTGCTAACATCCCGTGATATATCAAAGCACTGAACTCACACACTAAAACACAATATCTCTACACACAGTGATAGAAAAAATATTAACGCAATGTAAATTTAAGACGATGTATTTCTGCTTTATTCTTTATTTTTCACAGGTTTAGTTTTTGGTCCAGTCCCAATGTGCAGCATAAGATCATTAATCAGTAAACCCTCACTGACTTAAATGACATCACCTAGCCAAGAGAGATTAAAAACATTAGATTCACACTGTATCCCATAACAACCATGTGTTTCTACACCTGTTTGGACCAGATCCACATCAGCCCAGAGATTTTCCCTATCTGTAGAAGGGAAAGTATTTACTGTTTGCATCGTCAGTGTGGTTAATGCAAATGTCATTATAATCAGGCTTAAAATGTCAGAAAAGTGGTGCTATGTGTGTTTTATTCTTTGATTTGAATTTTATTAAATCTTGCACATTCCAGTTATATTTAAATAAATAACATCATTTGCAAGGCATTTGATGACATCCAATGTAATATGTGTTTTAGATATGTAAATTTACACATACATGTCATTTTAATCATGAAAAATATAAAAATTTCCCTAAATAATGATTTCCTTAATTAGTTACTTGCAGCAGGGTTTTCTGTGTCTCCCAACATAACCTTAAGAGTATGGCAACAATATCAGGTTATGGACTAACTCTCCAAGTCCAGGTTGGGTCGTGCAGGCAGACTCCATCCTTTTGGGGTGGTGCTCTGCATTTCCCGCTCACAGTCAGTCCACCTGTAACTCATCAGCCTCACCAACAACAGTCTTTGCAAGATTATCTGCCATCATAGTGCGATAAGTAGGCTAAGCCAAGTTTCCTTGTATTACCTTTTATGCTATAACTTTTCTCTTCCTCTGCTTCCACTCACCTGTTTCTAGTGATGGGCAAGGCAAGACTTTGTGAAATGCTGAAAAATTCGAAGCATTTGTGCCAGAATCGTATTGAGGTTGAAACAACCTGAAACCATCTCCACAGTGATGCCTGCTGGACACTTTGGCATCGCCACATCTTGATGATGCTGTTCTGTGAAACAGTGACACAGACGAACCTGCAAAATTCAGAACTAATCTATTTATTATACTAGACTGTTAATAACTGTGATCATCACAGGTTTTATAGAAATCCTCAAACAAGGAAATAAAAATAATCAGACTGCTAAAGCCAGGAAGATGTAATTGTAGTGATCAGTGTGCTTCAGCAAACTTCCCCCTCTGTTAGCATTGGTGTTGCTTACAATAAATCAAATTATGAAGTCAAACATACAGAGGAAAGACTACTGTGTTTACTGCAACACAGATTTATAGATGTTTTTGGCCTCAGGCAAGGGAGTCACATGTTTCTGTAAAAGTCACTACAAGACACTGATTTCATGGTTCTATAGACTCTGATCTGTAACTAAGATTCCCCGGTAAACACTTTTACATCACAATTCATCTCACAGTAACTGAGTAAAAGCATTCAGACAAAATCCTCTCAGCTTATTACAATAAACTCATGAACATTAAAAAAAACAAACAGAAATACAACATTCCCACTCAAATAGTAATAAAAGCAAACTGTGGAGCATTTTACAACAATCACTTATTCAGATCTTCAGATAAATGACACCCTGATGATCCGAGGGTTGCAAGGAGGATGTTCTGCTTTGACCCTGAATAACTGATGAGATGCTGAAACAGTAACGACTCTCATGCAGCTGTTTGTGATCTATAATTATGTTAACATCAGGGCCGGGAGCTATTCTCGTTTGGATTCAGTTATAGCTTCAGTTTATGTTCTGCTCATTTCCAGAGAAGCTTTGATTGTTTTATTTTTTCATTATGGATTTGGAACAATTATACATTTGCTACTTATATTTATTTATTTTATTTTCTTCATGATCAAGGATCTTAAGGAACCGCCTGTCTGATCTGAACACGTTCCAGGCTTTCGCAAGAAGAAATGATCAAGTGATCAATTAAATGATCATTAGGCAAAAACTGTCACAAACATGGATTTACAAACTAATTGCATAATATGGTCCACTGATTTCTTGTGAACTTCTGTTTGCTTGATGTTTATGAGTGGCTTTCTTACATGTTTGCTTGGTTACATTTTCTTCCTCTTACTCTCTCCCACACCACACCTTGACCCACACATCAAAGTGTGAGTGTGCTGATGTTTAGGACCAATATACAGCACTGTCACTGAGGAGACATTACAAGTGTAAGTTTATCAGAAACATCAAGTCCCAAAGCAGAATTGTTAGCTTCTCTGAAACCTTCACGCCTTTCCATTAAATTGGGATGGTCAATTTTAAAGGGTTGGACTTTTAATACAGACTTGATGTCCTCATATTGGACACTATTTCAATTGGATTTTTCACTGTTGATCAAAGTTGCCATGTTGAATTTTTCAGAAGGAATCCATTGCTTTCCTCCTGGATTATTTTCTTTAACATGAAACACTGAGATAAACACATCTTCAGTGTCCGTCTCCTCGCCAGTCTCTTTCCTCCCAAAGATATGAAAAGCATTAGCTCGGAGTAGGTTAATTAGACAAGTATAACTGATGTTGTTTCAGTATTAGTCTGTGATTGTTATTATCATTTGATTCTCCTTTAGCTTTGCAACTGCTAAATTTCTTTAATAAATACCCTTCAAATAAAGTCTACATTCAATTATGTCCGCAACAAAAACAGCAGAGCGCACCACTGGATTATTTAGAGGAAACTCATCACCTGTGCTCATATTTGATATGTCTAGTAGGAAACAGAGAGCAGGGAGATTAGACAAACTTCACAGACTTACAGACACACTGATAGGTTTAGTATTTTAATGCTGTCAGTAAGAAAACTGCAGAATCATTACAGTTGAAGGCTGTTTAAAGGGAAAAAACTCAAATCTGAACTGATGGTTCCTCATTTGTCAGATGAAAATGTGTCTGACTGTGACATTAGCTCACTGGACTGCCTCTTCTGCTCCCTGAGAACCTCCCTCTTCAGCCAGCCATCCTTCAGCAGCACCAACACCGAGGTTACAGTCCACCAGGCCCCTGTTCTCCTAGAGAGACATGAGAGACATGACAGCACAGAGATCCATCTTTAGCAACAAAAACAACAACAAAAACAATAATAACAATAATAATGATGATGAAACGTATTTATAAAGCGCATTTCAAGATACCCAAGGACACTTTACAATAGGAGAAAACACATAATAGAAACATGACAAAATGAAGAACAATAAAACAAAGCACAAGATAGAATTAACAAAAAGTGGGTTTACAGTGAATATGCAGATATGAACAGATGGGTGTTGAGTTGAGGTATAAACTGGGGGAGAGAACCAATGTTTCTTATATCTGGGGTTAGAGAGTTCCACAGCCTGGGAGCAGAGCAGCTGAAAGCTCTGGTTCACATGGTGGTGAGGTGGAAAGAAGGCACAGAAATATAGAAGAAGAGGATAGAAGTGAGCAAGCAGAAAAGCTAGTGCTAATGAGTTTATCAGACTCTCAGATACTTATGTAGGAATTTCGACCTACTGTTCTTTACAGAATTGTTTGAGTGTACTGAGGTTTGTTGGTTTCTTTATGCCAACACAACATTTCAGTTAACTTGAGGTCTGGACTTAAATGACATCATGGATCACAGTGATTCTTACTTCTTACTTAGAAGTACATGTAAAAGTAAAAGTACTCAGTTACAATAAGGGTCTGAAATGCTCATCTGTCCAATTTAATCAGATTCAATAGAATTTTATTCATACAGCGGTAAATCAACAAACTCTAACATATTCAGTGAGCTGTAATGACACTTGGAGCAGCAGAATACAGCAGGTTACCCAGTCTGAACAAAAGATGGAACTCCAGAAAAGGAAAGTCACCCTAAAAGGGAAACAGAGATATGAGGAGAGCAGCAGGTGGTGAACAGACACTGAAAGCTAACTGATGAAACGGCTGGCCTTTAAAGTACACAAGGAGCTAATCAGAGAAGAAAACACTGAGGAGGGAAGGCCATCACTAAGGCAGGAGAGGATAAAGGCGGAGCTCATAGAATAATAAGCTGTCTGTAGTGCTGGGAGCTAGATCAGTCCCAGTAATGTGACGTATATTTAAAGGATCTAGCTAAGATGCAAAAACAGAAGCTATTATCAAAAAGCATGTTTGCTGGACTCAAGTCTGTCTGCTTCACCCACCTCTAGCTATACAATTGATGATGTCACAGATTGACATTGTGGAGGACTATAAATACCTTGGAGTACACATTGACAATAAACTGGACTGGGCTAAAAACACCACAGCACTTTACAGGAAGGGCCAGAGTCGTCTCTATTTTTTGAGGCGACTGAGGTCCTTCAACATCTGCCAGAAAATGCTGAGGATTTTCTATGAGTCTGTTGTGGCCAGTGCGATCCTCTATGCTGTTGCATGCTGGGGGAGCAGGCTGAGGGTCGCAGATGCCAACAGACTTAATAAACTGATCCGTAAGGCCAGCAATGTTGTGGGGATGGAGCTGGACTCCCTCAAGGTGGTGTCGGAGAGGCGGATGCTGTCCAAGATAAAGACAATGTTGGATAACACCTCCCACCCACTCCATGACATGTTGGTCAGTCACAGGAGCTCGTTCAGTGAGAGACTGAGATTACCGAAAAGCACCACTGAACGACACAGGAAATCATTCCTGCCTGTGGCCATCTCCCTGTACAACGCATCCACTTAACACACTGTTTGCTGCTACAACTACACATGTTTCTTTTCCAACTATTTATTTATGAGTGACTTATGTATGTATGTATGTATATATATGTATATATTGTACTATTCTTAGTTAGCGTATTGTCTGTCTTGTCTTAATGTTGGTTTAAAATGGAGCACTGTAACAAAAAATTATTTCCCCCAGGGATCAATAAAGTATTCTGATTCTGATTCTGATTCTGATTGGCTTACCTGAACAGGTGAGCTCCATGACTGAACCAGTAGTAAATGATTCACTGGTGATGGTTGGTGACTGTAAACACCCCATCATAGAAAAATAAGAAGGTTCACAGAAAAATCTGAGAAGCCACATAGGTGTGTTTGAGAGCTCTCTCTTTTTTACAGAAACATCTGAGCCACAGTCCAGATGTTTGCAAAAAGCAGCTGGTTCCCTCAGGGTCCTGGCCATTGTATACACTGGTCTCCACTCTCCCAGTTTCATTTCCAGTGTACCTGCACAGCGACTGGCTCCTCCCACTAACCTGATAGGCTCTGGACAGAAAGCAGAGAGTCATCAGTAAAAAATGAAATGAGTTTGAAGCAAATCGAAGCTGCAGCTGCTCTTCTACCTGAGCAGGTGAGTCCAACAGCTTTGCCTGGTGAGCAGCTGCTTCTAGTAGAGTTTGAGCTCCTACAGTCCAGGAGAGTAGACTCATGGCCTTCACACTGGAACTCTTTGCTCCACACTGGAGCCCCCATGTCTCCATGGAGTGCCCCCTGGAGGGCTGAGGGAGGCCCGCAGCCAAGCTCCCTACAGACCACCTCTGCATCCTGCTGGTCAAAATGATCTTCACACACGGAGGTCCAGCTCTGCTTGGACTGGTTAGACTGGTTGTAGTTGACCTCCAGTCTGCCTGAACACAGACTGGTCCCATTCAGCAGCCTCACAGAGTCTGAAGAGATCAGAGGAGATCAAATAGAGAGAGATCAGAGACAGCAGACACGAGAAGAAGAGGTCAGCAAACAACTTTTCACTGATTCAAACTTTCAGGTGTGAAAATCAGAGTTCGTCCAGTAAATCCAAACCAAACAGACCCAAAGACAACAGAAAAACAGCTTTAGAAGAAACAAAATATACAACTGAACAATGACAAATGTGCACAAATATGAAAAAGAACCTAAAGACTGAAGAAAAATTCCAGCTAAGAGATACCATCTAACAGGTCTTTTACTTGACTCAAGTCTTTGGGTGCTTTTCAAACCAGGGAGGGGTGGCCAGAGATGTATAAAAATGTGTGTGTGTGTGTGTGTGTGTGTGTGTGTGTGTGTGTGTGTGTGTGTGTGTGTGTGTGTTTTGACTGCAAGATAAAGAGAAAACTATAAAAACCTTTGTAATTAAAACCTTTGTGATCAAATTACGCCACATATTAAAATGTTATAATAATGTAATATTATAATGTTTCATATTTATCACATTTATTCATTTCACGTAGGAAACAAATTCTATTTTAAATCTGATACTTGCTGAAAATGCTGAAAACGTCACTGTGAATGTAAACATTAAGAATAAAAAAACCCTCCAACTTATTTTGAGTGCTTTTGATGAAACTAAGGTAGGTAGTTGGTAGTTTGTGACATCTAATAGTGTTAGAGGACTTACTGAACAACCATTTTTGATTTGACAACATTGAGTTAAAAGTTTACTCTCTTTTTTTTAAAGTGCTCAAACAAATGGTTGATTATTCATTTCATGGTGCTAATGCTAATGTTAGCCTTAATGTTATTAAAATGTATTATGTTTCGCCAAATCAACCCACTGGGCCTGCTTTGTTCATCCATTACTGTTAATAAATGACATTAAGTGTTATCAGAGGAGTTAACAGTAGTAAATTTAGTAAAAGATCAAGATTAAACATGTAGACATCATAATTATAACAGCTGGTAAATCAATGTTACAAAGTTGCCAAAATTATAGTTTTATGTTTTACATTTTTAGATGGATGCTAAACAATTCTGTTGCTTAAAACAGCAGGTTCCTCTGGCTGGTTCATGAACCAGAAGCCACAATGGTCAAACTTCTCACCCAATCTCTAACGGAGAGGCCAGCCACCCTTCTGAACGAAGCTCATTTCTGCTTGTATCCGCGATCTCGTTCTTTTGGTCACTACCCACAGCTCGTGACCATAGGTGAGGGTAGGGACATTTCTTAACTTTCTGAAAGTGCATTTTGCACGTTTTTGCAAGTTCATCTACAGCTGTTATTACTCCTGTGCACTAGTGCATGGACTGATGTATAAATGTCTGGAAAAAATTTTTTAAAGATTGCTGAATTCTAGGGTATGTTTTTAAGCATTTCCTTCCAGTTATGTATGTGCAGTTTCCTGTGTTTGCTGCAGACTGAGCAACGTTTTGTTGGCAGGTTTTAATGTCTGTCTTTTGGCCAAAGTTCTAATTGCCAGATTCGGATCCACACTTCCTTTCCTGATTCTCATTATGAGTTTTTCATATTTTACTTATTAAGTCATAGAAACTATGTGATACTGTCCAACAGAATAATAGAACAGGATTGCAGAGCTTCAGAAGTCGCCTTAGAATCTTTTGGTTCAAAATAGTTTAATTAATGTCCCTGGATATTAAATAATCCAGGGACTGTTGTCAGTATTTTCAATGCTGCGCTGCAAACAATAACTGTTAATTATTGTTTCAGCAAACTTCAATTGTATCTTCAATCTAACAATATATTTTGGTCCTTAAACACTTATTTCAAAGTAAGTGTGGTGTTAACAAACTCCATCACCTGCACACAGTCTGTGCTCATATGTACAGGTATTTATCACAGCACTTTCTAAAACACTTCCACATCGGATACACCTTTTTCTTCATCTGCTCCGGGCACATTTATGGAAATGGAAGATCCTTTGTGATTGTTGAAAGGAAACAATTTCCATGTCAAAGAAGAAAAGAGGACATGAGGAAGGCCCAACAGTGTCTCCACTTCCTGAGAATCCTCAAAAAGATGGACCTGCTGATCGTCTTCTACAGCTACTCCATTGAAAGTGTGCTGACAACTGCATCTGTGTGTGGTTCTCCAGCAGCACCATGGCACAAAAAAAGCACTTCAGAGGGTCAAAAATCATTGGACACCCCCCCCCCCCCCCAACATATACTAATTCTATTTATCATGCACTTAATCTAATGTCTCTTTAATTATTACATTAAGATAGTGTGTTGTTGTCCTGTTGTGCTGTGTGTAGTGCCAACATGGCACCCGTTTTCACTGTACTATAGGTAAAACTGTGCAATGACAATAAAAAGTTAACTCTCATAAGTCAGCATGATGAAAAACACACTGTCTACTCTACCTCCTCATGTAACAAATGATGAAGTGATGTGGTTACCTGAGCATGTCAGATCCACAGTGGAGGAAGAGTTTACTGGTATTACAAACTCCCTCAGAGGAAATCTACTCCTAACAAAGTCATGTTGTATCCTCCACACAGGTCTGTCTGAGGACTTCCTGTGTTCTATAGCAAGAGCAGAGCCACAGTCCAGCTGTTTACAGGCAACTGCTGCTTCCCTCAGGGCCCAGTTATCTCCATCCACTGGTCTCCACTCTCCCAGTTTCATTTCCAGTGTACCTGCACAGCGACTGGCTCCTCCCACTAACCTGATAGGCTCTGAACAGAAAGCAGAGAGTCATCAGTAAAAAATGAAGTGAGTTTGAAGCAAATCGAAGCTGCAGCTGCTCTTCTACCTGAGCAGGTGAGTCCAACAGCTTTGCCTGGTGAGCAGCTGCTTCTAGTAGAGTTTGAGCTCCTACAGTCCAGGAGAGTAGACTCGTGGCCTTCACACTGGAACTCTTTGCTCCACACTGGAGCCCCCATGTCTCCATGGAGTGCCCCCTGGAGGATTGAGGGAGGCCCACAGCCAAGCTCCCTACAGACCACCTCTGCATCCTGCTGGTCAAAATGATCTTCACACACGGAGGTCCAGCTCTGCTTGGACTGATTAGACTGGTTGTAGTTGACCTCCAGTCTGCCTGAACACAGACTGGTCCCATTCAGCAGCCTCACAGAGTCTGAAGAGATCAGAGGAGATCAAATAGAGAGAGATCAGAGACAGCAGACACGAGAAGAAGAGGTCAGCAAACAACTTTTCACTGATTCAAAGTCTACGCAGCACAACCCCAACATCATTTCATCATTAACATCAGAACACACACATGTTACTGACACACACAGTTCACACTGATATGTGTCATCAAATGCAGACAAACTCCCGTTTGTCCCGTTTGGTTCTTTTGCCATCAGAATTATTGTCTAAAGGCAAAGAAAGATGCCCAACCGATTTACTTTATCAAATTGACCATCCCAGCCTTGCCGTAATGGTCTATTTGATTCACCTTTTATTGTTTATTTTATTTATTTATTTTTTTTTCACTTGCTAGATACGGGACAGACTTGAATGAGGAAAAGAAAAGGGAGAAAGGAAGAGGGGGAAAAACAGCTGAGAAGAGGGATGGGGGATAAAGGGCAAAAAAACCAAAAACCAACTAAATAAGCAGACAAAAAAAAATACATCTATCGATCACCTGGATCACCTGTTGAGAAAGAATAAAGAAAACAAGCAGAAGAGAACAAGAGTAATAGAATAACCAACATCACGATGATATATGGGAATATGACAGTAAATACTAAATATTAAACATTATTGTGCAGCACGTAACATCGACAGCGCACAGTGTGCTTTGAGGTAGGAGCCAAAAAGGGTGTAGTTTGTGTGTGTGATCACCCGTGTGTACACCTGTGAGCATGGACGCGCTTGTTTTTTTAAAAGGTTCCTTCATGTAACGATCTGCTAGAGGGTGTGGGGGGGCCACAGCCCCGTCCTCCAGGGCATGAAGCAGGTATGGAGGAGATCAAAACTCCAGACATCCAGAGGCCCCCAGAACACAAGAGACCAAGGAAGACCAACAGAGGGGCAGCTGCGCCACTGTCCCAGTAAGAGCTGAGGAGAGTCCCAGATGAGGGCTCACTCAGCAGCCGCGGAGCAGAAGCCAGGGGGAGTTGCAGTGACGCGCCCGTGAGCTCCGCCGGCAGCCAGCTGTGCCTGAGTGACCGAGCCCCAGGCCGAGAGGCCGGGGGCACCCCACCTCCGAAGTGGCCCAAGCGAGCCCCAGGCTCCAGGCCCCGACATGCCGCCACCAAGGAGTGAGCCGGTGTGTACCTGGACGCCAATCCCCGGACACAAAGAACCACCAACGCACCGACGTCTGAGGGCGTCTGCCACCGGTAGGGGAAGTGGTGGGGGGAGATAGGCCTCCAAACCTTGGAGGGCCTGAGATGTCCCCAGAGAGGTGGCGTCTGATACCCAACCTGACATATAGACACAGACATACAGGCACACACAGATACAAACATCCATTCCCACCCTCATGCTCTCATATGCACTCACTCCACACTCAACCAACGTGGAGACAGACATAGAGACACTGTACACACAATCACACTCCCCAAGCGTACTCTACCAACCGGGTCTAGGTACCCTTGCCCCTGGAGGGGGGAACTGCACCCAGACCCAGGTGGTGTTACCCTTTTCCCTGCGGTGGGGAGAGGCAGACCGCCCCGACTCCACAGCAGCAGGGAGGCCCCACACTCCAGACCCCAGTCGGACGGCCAACTCCTCCTCCTGGTCCCCCGCTCCAGCAGGTTGCAGAGAACGGGGGTGAGAGAAGACTCCAAGCCTCCCTCTGCCCACTCATATGTAGTGTTGATGCATGTGTGTTTTAAGGTGCATTTAAAACCCAGGAGGGCATGGAGCTACCTGCCAGAGAGCAGCAGGTAAGCGCATGGTCCCTCCTGATAGCCCTCAATGTCTACTTGTATTTAAAATTGAGAGGTGAGCAACGACGCCAGGGGTGAGGTGTACACCCCGATGGTCTTTTTGGAGTCCGTGTAGCGTGCCCACCCCATGCAGACGAACTCCAAGACATTCACTGAGCTTTAATGACACTCGGAGCAGCAGAATACAGCAGGTTACCCAGTCTGAACAAAAGATGGAACTCCAGAAAGGGAAACTCACCTCGACAAGGAAACACAGAGGTATGAGGAGAGCAGAAAGTAGGGACAACGCACTGAAAGCTAACTAAGTAAATGACTGGCCTTTCCTGTCTTAAGGCCCTTATATTATCAGAACTCTCCAAAAGAGCACTTGCATCCAGACTAGGGCATACTTGTGGCCTTTTCACTCACCATGTGTTTTACACCCCTGTAAAAGACCACGGCAGACCCGGGTGCAAATTCATGCTTTGCAGCATACTTTATTGACTCACACGGTTGCTGTTCACAATGCTCACAGAGCTGCAGCTCTCCCGCTGCCCGCTCAACATTATCACAACAACAACGCCAACCACAGGACCCAGTACAATATTTAATTTGGCGGGGCATGATTGCGGATGCCATGCAGGTGGGTCCGCCTCTTCTGCACGTCACCGCAGGCCACGCCCCGCCACAACCCCATCTGCGTGTAATTATGAGACACCCCAAAAGGTTCATTCTGTTCATCTAGACCAGAGGTGTCGAACTCCAGGCCTCGAGGGCCAGTGTCCTGCAGGTTTTAGATATGACCCTGGGTCAACAGACGTGAATCAAATGATTAGTTCATTACCAGGCTCCTGGAGAACTTCAAGACATGTTGAGGTGGTAATTTAGCCATTTCAATCAGCAGTGTTGGATCAAGCACACATCTAAAACCTGCAGGACACCGGCACTCCAGGCATGGAGTTCAACACTTTCAGTGGAAGAAACATTTTGTCACTCATCGAACTGACTTCAATCTCAGCTGATGGATGAAGGCACTTGAGATTACATACCTGGATGGTTAAGCATGCATCAAGACATAATTATGAGATACTACTGTTCTATCAGAGGTTCTTCTTGTTAACAGGGAGTTTCTCCTTCCCTCTCTCACCAAGCACTTGCTCAGTTGATTGTCAGATCTTTTGGATTTTCTCTGTATTATTGTAAGGTCTTTACCTACAATATAAAGTGCCTTGAGGTATTTGGTGCTAAATAACTGAAACTAAATTGAAGGGGATTTAAATACACAAGCAGCTAATAAGAGAAAAAAAAACATTGGGCAGGAAAGACCATCACTAAAGCACGAAAGGTTAGCAATAGATGGAGCTCGGAGAATAATAGTTGTCTGTAGTGCTCAGAGCAAAGTCAGCCATGATTTTATGCATGATATGAATGTAAATTCAGTTTAACTCAGAGAGGTGCAGCCATCTACTGCAACCAGGTGGAGGTGAAGGTAGGGAGACAGGGCCGTAGACACGCTGTGGAAGAGAGCCAGAGATTAACATGAACAGACAAACAGGGTTTGTAGCTTTTCAACTATTTTTTACCAGGTTGTGTTATTGTCTGCAAGAAGCGCTGTGGAGTGTATTCAAAGGACCTGTATGAAGTGAGCTTGTTTCTTACTCACAGCTCTAATTACATGATGAAAATCCAGTCCAATATTATTTATAAAGCACTTTAAAATACCCAGCACAGGACCAAAGTGCTGTACAGAAAATAAGTTAAAAACAATAGAATGCAGAACAGAAAGAAGCAAAAAATACATAAAAACTCAAAATAATCATGCACAAATATGAAAAGAAACTAAAGAGTTAAGTCAAGCCAAGATGCAGAAACAGGAGTAGTTATCAAACAGGACCTTTGCTGTCTGCTTCACCAACCTCTATCAATCATTAGATGATGTCACAGACTGGTGACATCATCTAATATCACCAGTCTGGCTTACCTGAACAGGTGAGCTCCAGAACCGAAGAAGCGTTCCACGACATTACACATCTTGGCAGATCATAATCAGGTCGACATTCAGCTATGAGTAGCCACAAAGATTGGTATGACACCTGTCTCTTTCGTAAAGAAACAGCAGAGCCACAGTTTAGATCTCGACAGAAAGCAGCTGCTGCCTCCATTTCAAAGTAGTCCACTACATCTCCACTAGTAGCTCGTCTCCATTCTCCCTGATGCTTCAGCTCCAGTGTGCCTGCACAGCGACTGGCTCCTCCCACCAACCTCATAAACTCTGAACAGAAAGCAGAGAGTTTCAGTAAGGAGGGGAAATTCCTCGTGGAATTTTCTAGTGAGTTTGATTTTGGTACTATTTTTTTTTCTGTTTACCTGTTGAATCGTGTTTTACTTCAGCCTGGAGTCCTGAGGAGAAAATGAGAGAAGAACCATCGTTTTGTGTTTTTTTTTTCTCTTGGCTGCGTCACCTGCCTCATGTGCAAATCTCAAAGCCTCTTAACTTTGTCTCAAAACCTCTTGGAAAAGTACAATAATATGAATATGACTCCCTATGAACAAGCACATGATGACAGTGGGGATGAAAAAGTCCCTCTTGGTAGGAAGAAACCTCCGTTGAATAGATAGTATGAAGAGAAAGCTTAATGGGACTCCCATTAAGTACTGTTAAATGAAAGCACATGGGACTAAAGAAAAACATAACTAGTAGTAGCAGTCTGTAAAGTCTTTTTATAGACTTTTTTGAATCGAGATTTAGTAATAAGACAATCAGTGACTCAAACAGTTATTGATCGCCCCTGTGTTTGCACAGTGGCATCAAAGCAGAATGTTCTCAGCCCCTGATACGTTATGTGCAGCAGGCCACCAGTTAAAGTGTAATTTTGCAGCGACAATGCATCAGTCAGGGGGGATTTCTTGCATCAGATCAGGAAACCTCCCCGTTTGAAAATCTAAATTTTGAATGACAGCAGCAGGTAAACGTAACTCAGGAATGTCAATGAAGCAGCTTCAGGATTTTTAAAATACTCCAGAAAGACAAAACAGGAATACAATGACCTGTTTAACCCTTTCAAAGGCACAAACTCTTCTAGTTTAAAGACTGTGGAATGCATACTACTAGATGTGGTAAACCGTTTGTAGGGTTTGGTACTGCAGTTGCACTTTCATTGGTATTTTATTGTTCTTTCAAATCACTTACTTACGACCCCAAAGTGACACAACAGTCAGCTCGGGGTCGTAAGTAAGTGATTTTTGGGTCGTATTCTTATTGGTTCCTGTTACATAAACCTACAAACTAAAGTAATTCTGCAGAAAGATGAAAACTGTGGCTCTTAAATGATTGCAGCAGAATAGTTAATAAAGTTTTAAAACATGTGAGGCTGCAGGTCAAAGTGACCGTAAACAGATTAAAAACTGACTTTTGTTTTTTGACGTCTGAACGAAGCTGTTCAAGTGTCACAGTGCAGTTTTTTCTTTCCTTCACTGATCCTTTTATATGATGCATGTGTGTGTCGTGTGATGTTAGTGTCCTACCTGAGCTCCACAGCAACAGCAGCAGCAGGGGATTAATGTCCATGTTGATATCTCTCTGCTCTGATCATCACATGTACTTTGCCTTTATACCTGCCACAGGAGGAGGCGGAGCTTCACGCCTCTCTGACTGTTTTCAATTAATCGGTGTCATCTCACATTGACCTTTTCCTGTCAGCCATGTTTCCGGTGTGAGCAGTGGATCAGATAGTTTTTATACTGGTGTCCACTCTCAGACCAGTTCACTCCCAGTTTGTCTCTGAATACAGGAGTCTGCTGCTGTGACTAGACTTCAGGCCAGAAGCTGCATATCTGGGCTGATCTGACTGGTGTTGGGATTAAATAATTTGCAGTGCCTTAATAATGATATGCTTTTTTTTATTAATAATTGTTATAACGTCAGATACTTTAGTATTAAGCGGACACAGCCCTGAAAAATAAAGGCATGAGACCATGTGTCCTTGGGGAGTAGAAAGCTGCAGACTCTCGCTCATGTTTGCCTGGGAAAATGTAGATAAGAGGGACCATCTCTAGTGGAAAGTTACTGAGACACTGTTGTTTAGACTAGAATGAGAGCTTCTGTAATAAAACTGTTGGGGGCGCACTACCATTTTGAGATCTGCGGCAGCGTGTCATGCAGGATGCACCTCCCTTCTAGAAGTAATAAAGTGTTAAATGGAGCAGTGTTTTGTCTTCCATCAGATGCCTCTGATGAATCAAAAGAACTCGGTGTACTGTTGATATTTACACTGGGAGGGGGAAAAGACCACCTATTGATCGATTCACAAATCTGCTGATGAAGCTATATGCGAGGGGTCAAAGGTTATAAAAGGCTTGTTTATTACAAACACACTACTATTAATTCTTTAAAAAAAATAAAAAAAAACCCAATACAATAAGTTTACATACCCCTTCAAAATGCCTGGTTTTTGTAATGTTAAAAATCATTCAAAGCTTTTAATGTTTGCTGTAACTTATTAACTTCTATTACAAAACAAATCTTTTAGGGGGAGAATATTTCTTCAAAAGCACGCCATGCAGAAGAGATGCCTTTGTGATCTGATAGATTTTGAGTGTTTTGCAAGGAAGAGTGGGCAAATATTGCCCTGTCAAGATGTGCTGTGCTGACCACAACTCAAGAAGACTGAATGCTGTGATTAAATCAAAAACTGTGTGAACAAAGTATTAGTTTAAAGCTGTGTGCACTCACGCAACCCGCTTAGCCTACCTTTTTTAATTTTTTATGTTTTTACCCTTATGGTTTGTTTTTTAATTGACTGTACATGTTATAACTTACATTAACGGTGGGACAAGTTCTTTTTTATTCCTTGTATGTTGACTTTGACAAATGTAAATGTAAATGTACGTACAAATGTGTTGAAAAAGCCATAACAGCAGATTTAAATTATCACTTTGAGCAGTTTTTGCTTCTCATTTGCAAAGTTTGATAAATATGTGCTGGGGCACTTAACTACAAAATGTTGAAAACGTATTGGATTTGCATTTGGCGTGCTTTGATACATTACGTGTTTCTATTTTGGGAAACATACGGCAAAAAACCTTGCTATACAAAGTTTGTGTTGAATGAAAAATAAAATAAAATGTCGAATGAAAATATTGGGTAGTTTTGTCCACGATGAGCAGGTTAGTCTGCAGTAATGTGCTGAATTAAAGTCTTTGACTGGTGCACAGCGGCTGTGCTTTCATACTCAGTGTGAAGTTACATTGAGTGTACTGGAAATAAATTTGCATTTAAGGTGATGATGCTTAGATTTATTCAAAGAATTTCCACTTTGTGCCAACTGTCAGTGGCACTTTATGACCACTACAGTTTTGTTCTGTAAACCATAGCGTTTCAATAAGTGGACAGTCTTTTCAAGTTGCACTGCAGCTAGTCTCCCAGCAGATTCAGAATGTAGAAAACTCTCCTTGATGGTTCAATTATAAAAGGAACTAAGTCCAAATGAAATCTGCTCTTGTTTCGTAACACACTTCATCTCATCTTCCACGATGCTGAAATATTCACAATTTTTTACATTCATAATGGACCATTTCTGCCAAACAACCAGAACCTGATTCTGAAATAGAAGGAAAATCTTATCAGATGGATCACCTCCACCTGTTCCTCCAATCTCCCTGGCACTGGCCCACCTCCCCTGCAGCTGAGCCATTGACCACACCTCCGCAGCAATATGCTAACATTATTTGATTATTGCATTAATATAGAACAAGGTTAAGTTAGCTTTGCACAACAGCTGGTAGAAACGTCCTCCAAAGACTTACGTTTTATTCAGAGCACCTTTCAGAGCCTGTATTTTTATGGCTGATGTATTGAGGGCAAATGTCATCTGAGGTTAACTCAGTAAATTCCCGGCATGGTGATAACAGAGGTTGCTTCACAGCAGTCATGGTCTTAACTATTCATGCTCGCGCGCGCATGCACGCACACACACACACAAAATTTAGCTGCGATCATGCAGATAAGAGCAGCATGGCAATTGTTTACTACTCAAACATGTAGAAGTCGGTCATGGAAAATTAGTATTGATTTTTAAATAACTGGACTTAAATAACAATTATTAATAGGAATTATAGTGGAGTATATTGCCTAATAAGTGTCTACATTTTCTGCTGCTTTTGTGGACTCTGAAATATTGAACTCCAGCTGTGAAAGCGTTGAGGACCTTTTGCACATCCTTCATTTAACCTGTACTGATATTTTGGACTATCGCTCCACTCAGGACTGTGCACGATAAGCTATTATCATAGCCATGGTTGAATAAACATACGCGCACCCTTAAACGTGATTGTAAAGAGGAGATGGAAATGAATTTATTTTATTTTCGGTTGCTACAAACGGGACAGACATGACTGGGGGATAGGACAGGGAGAAAGAATGAAAGAAAGAGAGGGAGAGAAAGAAAACCAAAGGGGAGAAGAGACGGTGAGAAGGGGGGGAAGAGAGAAAAACAAACAAAACACCTGGATCACCTGTATGGAGAAATAAAAACAGAAGAGAAAGCAAGCCTCAAGACAACAATTCTGATGGCTATAGATCCAAACGGGACAAAAAAAAAGAAAAAAAAACAATCTGAAGAGACGCTGGGCCTCACATGATGTACATGTGGCCATCTTGGTGTAAGGCTAACCAGAGGCAGGAAGTAAAAGTAACTAAAAAAAGTAACAAAGTATCAGTAATTTGTTGTTGTACTTAAGTAGAATTCAGGTATTTTACTCCTTACTGTTTTAGATAGATTTCTGCCCTTTTATTTTTTTATAGCCTTTGATCTATCACAATTCTTGGTTCAACATTTTTGGGGGAAGTTTGTATTTCACACCACGGCGCGCCTTCAGACATCAAGCTTCTTTGAGTCTAAATGGAGGGAAAATAACATAAAAAAGTCTCCTGGTGAGTGACCTATACTTTTAATTGTGTGTAGTGCAATTATGTACAACTAATATAGTACAAATAATAATACAAGTATTACAGCATTTTTGGAACATAACTTAAAAGGATTGAGTCACTTTTTCTTTTTAGCAAAACTCAATATTTCTTTTTCACTTTTGTATTTTTTTTAATTACACAAAAATCAAAGATCTGGACATGAAAAAATTCAAGAAACATGTCAGAGAAAAGGTCAAAATTTTAAGGCAATCAATTGCTTCAGTACCCCACCAACCAATCTGTTCTGTTCAAAATTTTTTTGATTGAACAATCAGCTGAAAGGAGGAAAAATTGGGTCATAATTCGTACTGATAAGCTTATTTACAAGTACAAAATATTTATGACCACACTTTGAGCCCATAAGGCTGGTCTGACCAGCAACCCGACCTAAGGCTTCGCAGATGTCACGGCTGGATTGCCGGTGTGTTTAAGGTACGGACCCAAACAGCAGACACAGGACAACTGAACCGAAGTTAAACAAAAAGTGAGCCTTTATTGTGGCTGTTAAAATGAACATCAAAGCTTTTTTTTTTACAATGTTTATGTAATATTTCAAAAAAGAAAACCAATAAAAACAAAGACTAGAAGATACTTGGGGGCAAAATAGTTGAAGTTGATCAAAAATAATAAGTTGAACTATCTCAATCAGAATCAGAATCAGAATACTTTATTGATCCCTGGGGGAAATTATTTAAAATGAAGGAAAATAGATGATCTTGAATATAATTACAACATTTTAATTAATTAAAACAATTTTATTCAGCAGCATTGTTTTTTAAATTAAGTTTACATCGTTAATTTATTTAATGCCAGTACCAGTGTTTGTACCTTTATTGTCTGCAACACACCAGCCAGTTCTTTCCATTTACAGTCATAGTCACTATATTTAAAATCCCTACTCTCACCATCATACTGCCTTTCCTTTACACACATTCACCTATCCTCCTCCTGTGCCAGCACCAAGCTCATCAACAGCACTGGTGTTGGCAAGTGTTAACTCGGGGTGCTAACAATCCAGTATGGAAATGTAATTATTCTATCTGGGCTTAGGACTGGCAAGAGGGATAAACTGGCTGTTTTTCATGACAGTAATTCACAATAACTATTTGGTTCAATAGCTATCATAGAAATAGCTGTAAAAAAGAAAATAAATAAATAAAATACACCCAAATAAATAAATCAATAAATCCAATATTTATTTTTTTATATGTAACATAATTTAAAATGAATATAAGAATCATGGTATGGTGAGGCAAAGACTTTCTCTCTGTTCTTGTGGTTGATGTGTTAATGAATAGACATTTTTTTTAACTGTACATGTAATCTGATTACCTAAATCACTTCAGTGTTCCTTAGTGTGTTTAAAAGCTATATTTCAAATGTTGAAGATATTAATATTACTGACCTGAGAGCAGCAGGATGAACAGTGAACACCTTCCATCCATTCTTGGAATCTGTATAACAGATATAGTCATAATTATTATTGTACAACATTTTTATCACACATTTTTAACATTAAGGTTTCTTATCTCCAGTCTATTAAGTTTTTTAGTTAAGCTTACAGTAAAGCAGCTCATCTGATCATCTGCTGACTGGGGCTGACTTT